TTGGCCGAAATACAAACATTGGCAACGCATAAATTTTTGCCATAATAACTACGAAGAGCACATATAAAATAACTCTTATTAGACCGATAATTAGTTCGGTATACAATAGAAAAACTGCTTTATTTTCCCAAGGTGTATCTGTTCTCATTTCCACAGCGTGCAAAATATATTTAATTAATGTGCTTGCAATTAGAGTTAGAAGAATAGCATATTCGAAACCGAACACTAATTGAACCGTCGGACCACGTACTAATGTTGAATTGTATGCATGCACTAGCAAAATATAATCCACAATCCCTAATATTGTTAATAGGCTGCCTACACGTAAATGAAATAACCAACCCAAAACTGGCGATCTTTCCATCTATATATATATTTTAATTTAATAATATATATTTTAATTTAATAATTAAAATTTTAGTTTAATAATTAAAATAAATATTCATAAATCTACTTACTGTGATATATATAACTTTACATATTAATATATTTAATCAAGTTCAAAAGTAATAACTTACAAAATCAACCCTCTCCTCTGCCAACCAATGGAATGATTTTAAAAACAACAGAACCGTAAACAAAGCAACAAATCGAGGATTGAAATCATCACGAAACACAGTAAACGCTAGACAAGTCTCTGTTAATGCATACCAAAAACGTTCTAGCAAGTGCTCAAATTCAGCTGCACGTAAGGTACCTAAGAAAATCTTTAACCAAATTTATTAATCTTAATTTATTTATACTATTAATTAAAAACATATACATATATTTCAAAAGTAAAATTTCTACCTTACGTAGGAGTTTTCCGAACATAAACACGATAACGAAGAATTGAATGTATATTACCTGTAAACCCAAAGTATATATTATGTATACGTATATGTACAATATATCTAAGAACTTACTGCCATAGAAGCATTTGATTTTGTAATATATACAACAGATGGATAAAATTGCTTTTTCTGATAAAACGCATTTCCAATAACTGCGCTAGTTAGCGCTACACACACTGAGGACAATAAGATCTGCATTTTGTTATTGTTATTTACAATACCTCCAGCCAAACGGCTGATCGGTTCCAATACGAAATTAATTTTGACGTTTCCTTCTTACAAGTTGTCTAATTAAGATTGCATATCCGAAACAATAATATAAAAGCGAATGAGATAGAAAATATATAGTGGTTACACATTTATTTAAATTAATAAGTTTTACATATTTATTGTTAATTTATTAAACTGAAAATTTTATCTATTCACTTTTATTGTTATTAAGAAAAATCAAATATTTTTAACGATATAGTACACGTAGGTTTTTCTTACTTTTCTCATTTAGATATGTCAAAACCATTTCGGAAGAAAAGTATTGCGTGTTAAAAGTATTTTACTACTTTTTAATAAATGTTGTTTGCATATGTGTAAAATTGAAATGTCATTCCACCATATTCAATAATCATCTTATATGTTTGTAAAAGGTCTGTAACCATAAGTTAAAAATTAGAATGAAATTATATATCTTCTCTGATCTTCTCTATGGAAATATTTTGAAGAAAAATCTTATAAATAATATGTTTTTATTACTTTTAATTAAATGAATTTCTCCTTCTTATAAATAATTTCAATATTTCATGTGTTTGTTTTGTATATCAATCTTAATAATGACAATGAACTTTATATATATTTCACAGTATATGGAATATTCAATATTTAAATAGTATTTATCTTATGTTATAGTATGAGTGGAATACTTCACACATTACATTAAGGCACTCACTAACTATTTAAAAAGTTTTTGGTTTGTGGAGGATAATAGCATATTCACACTATCTCATTTAGGCGGGTTTCTTCATGATAGCCACTAATGCAGATGATTTGCCATATAAAAACTTTTCATATAAATCAGCTTACTTAAGGCAAAAAATGTCGAATACAACCCTTAAAAATAAATCTCCTACAAGAAAAACTACCAAAATTTGAAATATGTGTCATATGTTTTATATGCGATATGTAAACAAACAAAAGCTGACATGTAAGCAGAGGCACTAAGGAAGTAAATAATTAATAAAATCTTTTTTTTTATTAAATGAATATGTAATTGATATAAAAAATGTATATAAATGATTTCAAATATAAATAATGTATTTAATTTTTTTATGTGATATATTATTAAATGAAGTTTATGAAAGTTTTATCAGCTGCATAAATGAACTCATTACAATGTGCACGCTCACTTATTAATATAACTGAGCAAGTGCGTAAATGCAACGGTGTAATTGAATACTGATAGTAATAAAGTTTATTCAGAATTTTAATTATTTCTACTTATTATACAAGATTTATATGATGGCTACGATTGTGGCTATATATATACTTCACTATTTTTTTACCGTGGACTGTTATCACATTAAGAAATGAACACTATATTTATTGTGTGTTTCTTCATTAATTAAATTCGTTTCAAAAGCTTTCTATTTTTATTAGATTTTGAGTGAGTCAATCGAAAATAGTAACTCATGTAACTTTTTATTTGAATTTTACTAAAAGTACGTCCGGGAATAGACCTTACATTTATTAATTTCGAACTTATATATTAAAACCAAATTAATAGTTAAAATATTTAGACCCTGTCAGGTTATCAGTAACAGCAAAATATGTAAAACTTCTAAAGAAACATTATTTACCTGTACTTCGAGCCCGTTACTCGAAATCGTAAATACCAATAGTATGTTTCTAAAAATTTATAAAAATTTTTATATAAATAAATTCAATAGTGTGACAGATTAATTTAGTTTTAAAATTTTAAATTTAATTTTATTTTTACATTTCTACATTTAAAAGATAATGTGCCTGTAACAAATAATATCCCAATGAAAAATGTTGCAAATAAAGGTATTGAAATAAAGTATCCATCAAATCGTATGGTGAGCTACTACAGTACAATTTCATTTCCATCAGAAAGTTACCATAGTGGTAAAAGTCGCCATCTTGTCCGCTGGCCGGCTGATTTTTTACTGCAATAAGAAAATAAATTGCCATCTTACGGAAAAAGTTTATTTTTTATTTAAGTAAAATTTTTATTAAACAAATGTTTTATTGAAAGACAAATAGATAATACTAGTTAAAAAATAAAAGAAATATATACATTAAAATTAGAAAAATTCTGGGAGAATATCAAATGCCACTTGGGCGGATGCAAAGAAAACGTAAGTTAAATAGGCAAATGACAACGAACGAAAAACAAGGAAAAAATTTTGTATATTTTTACTTGTTCTCTTTGTTCTTGTTATTCGTTCCTGCAAATTAATGTTATAATAAATTGTCTAGTACTACGAATTTATTTAAAGACCAATAAGTGTTATAAAACTATATGATATACATATGTTGGTAAGAACAGACTCTTAAATCGATAATCGATTTTCAGCAAATGGTTTACATTATACTTTTTTAAGCTTTATATCGCAAAAGAGTTTTTTTAACAATGTGTAGAACTTATATGTATGTGTGATAAATAATATTAAATAAATATAATTATTTTTTCACAAAATATTACAAATCAAATATTTGAATATAATCATAAACTTATAACTAAATAACAAAAATATGCTGTCGTAAAATTTAAGAAATACTCATAATGTTATAAATGAAATTGCCGCATAACAAAAACAAATAATTGAAAATTGCACTAGATCTAATTCTATGTAATCCAAGAAAATTGGAGGAGTGATGTAATTAGGTAGATTGTTGGCTATTTTTTTCTATGCCATCAAGAAAATGAGAAAACGCATAAATTGTGAAAACGCACAAGTCACCAGTTTCAACTTAGGTATTGATTTTCCACTTTCGCTAATTTTCTTATTGTTAATAGTTGCTGTAATCAAAAGACAAAATAATGTACATTTGATTTAGTTGCTTATATATGTATTAGCAGTA